AGCTGCCTAAAGAAGGATGATGTAAAATTTTAATTTTAGGTGACTTCTGATCCAGAGAGTAAACATTAATTTTCTTCAAAGCCAAAATTCACCATCGAAAAAAACTGAATTTAATTCAGCTAATAGATACGTTAACATAACATTTAATAGGTATATTTAATAATTCAGAGGCGGTACGAAGTTCGCCGGGTCAGCTAGTTGATTTATAAAATTGAATCGATTCGCTTGATGTTGGGTTCATTATCCCGGAGAATATCTCTTTAAATATTTTTAATTTTCTTTAATCCCTCAACTAAATAGTAGGTATTTTCAAGGATATGACAAAATTGCAGCTAAAATATTTCATCTTGCAAGATAATCCCCAGGGTTTTTAAATTTTTCATAGTAAAGAAACAAAGGGATAATGAATCTTCATTAGGTTGGTTATTTCCGAAGCTTGAACTTGGTAGTTATTTGTTAATTCAAGTAAGGGAATCATCAGATACCGAGGAAAAAATAACCAATAGAGAACGGAAATTATTACTCTACAATGAAATTGGCGATTCTCTCAGTGATTCTTTCTCAGCAGAGCCTCAGAATCATCACACTGATCAGGGCCGGTATTCTCGTTCTCGAAAACGCTCACCGCTTTTCAATCGCTCGGCACTTTCAATGTAAATTTGCATTTAAAGTGCCGAGCGACTAGAAAGCGGTGAGCGTTTTTGAGAACCAGAATACCAGTCATTATTCCATCTTGGAGGGCCCAGAGTATTACAAAAGAGAGAAAATTAAACATAGAATAAATTGGCAAAACTAGATATAAGATCATTTTCATTCAGCATGGATATGGCATAATTCACTCAAATTGTCTTAAGATATTTTTATATTCGTCCTTTTTCTCAAAACATCAAAGAAACCTGCGCAAATCTTGATGTAAACTCTCGTGTAAATTGATGTACCTTATTTAAATTTTGTATTATCGTGATACTTAGATTCTAATCTGTTTCTGTCCTTTATTTTTGTGTCTATTGGAGCTATCCTACTCTAGTTTCATAACTCAGATGCCGTAAAGTCAGAAATATTGGTTCTGAGCATCAAATCAGCTATTAACCATCACAAGTAACGGATCTCAGCAAATCCAGTACATAGCTTAGAGCCAAAAATTTGGATCAACTGTTGAGCAATTAAAGTACCCACCAGCAAATTCAAATGAAGACCGAACAAGAATGACAGACAAGAATGTGTACTAAGTACCTTTTGACCTATGATTCAGTAGATAGAAGCCTCAGTTCTTGAAAAGTTTAGTTAAATAAAGACAGAGACATAAACTAGAAAAATCTGAGCACCTGAGGTTCAACTGTTATTGTTTCTTGAGGTCATGACCAAATCTTCTGATAAAATTACGCTGAATTCCAAATAGGATTTTCCTTGTAGAGTACAGGTTGACAAAGAATAAACCTCAGAAGTTTCTAGTAGGTACCTATTGTCATTGAAGTTCTTGAGTCCTAAATCATCAGTAGATCACTTCTTTGGATTTCCGAAGTATTTAAGAATCTTTAATGTGTATCCAGTTTTTAATTTTTAATGAAATCCAGACATTCTTGAAAGGTTTTAGTAGGTATTGTGTCATTGAAGTTCCAGTTTTTAGAGTCTAATAATGCTTTAAGTTTTCACATTTTTTGTTACTTGTCTCGCTAGACTTAAGAAAAGCTTTTGACACAGTAAATCACAAAATTCTCGTGGAGGTGCTTGAAAAAACTGGTATTGGAGGTTCAGCACTACTGTGGTTAGGGACTATCTGTCGGGTAGACTACAGTATGTTGAATGTGAAGGTAACAGAAGTAAAATGGAAAACATTGTAAACAGAGTGCCCCAAGGCTCAATTCTGGGACCGACTCTCTTCCTAGTCTACATGAACTCACTGTCATACATACCTCTTCAGGGCTCTCTCAATTTATATGCAGATGATACTTGCATCACTTATTTTGACAAGGACCCTGCTAACTTGAAAATCATCATTGAAGAAGACTTGCAGAAAATAAGCGATTGGCTCTGTTACCACAAACTTAGTTTAAATGTGAAAAAATCAAGCTATATGGTAATATCAAAGTTTGAGCCCTGGCCTGACATTCTCACATATCATATCTAACTCTGCTATGGGGCAATGCTTCCCTTAACAAACTACATCCATTGTCAGTTTTCCAAAATCGTGCTATAAAAAAATTGTTTAAGCTGCCATTTCTGTTTCCAACAAAAGACTTATATTATCCGAATGGCATCCTGGACATTCACTCCCTGTATATCTTGCAATCACATGCATTTTTATCCATTCTTGCAAGACTTTCAATATTCACTCTACAATAAGTCTCATCCCAGCTAACACAATCCACCACCACAATACCAGAATCAATGAAAACTTAAGAACGTCGGCAATGAACACTACAACTGGCCAACGCAGCATCTTATCACAAGGACTACAATCGAATTCCAGAATCTGTTAAAAGATTGAACATAACTTGCTTCAAGTGTAAGCTGAAGCAGCGGATCTTCGATGGATACTTTGGGACTGTACAATAACTTTATCTGCAATTTAGAACTAATATATTCATAAATGCAACAACTTTGTGATACAGTACCTACTTGTACTGGATATTTTCTCTTGTGTGATATTGTATAATGTATAATAATACGGTATATTGTAATAATGTTATATGTGATACCATACCAAAGTGATACTGAATGACACGCATAGCTTTCCAGCTCAGGGTCTCTAGTTTAGGTTCATACATCTATTGTTTAACTACCATGAAGAAATAAAGGGAAAAAAAAATATAACTTTTGGCATATCCTGGAACCAGTTTCTATTTTTTCTATTCCTATGTATAATGGGATTGAGGGAAATGAAATAATTTGGAGGAGTTGGAGTTAGTTAGTTAGTTAACAAAATTAGTGTGTCAAAATATTTCGATCTATCTCTAAATACACCTAAGCCTCAAAATTGAACTCAATCCTACTGTCTCTGTCCTCTAATTTTCTGATCATTGATGTTTCAATTTTTGAAAGATCAGCTATTTGTGATGAGACGTCTTCAGATCTTAGTCTCTCTAGCTCTGCTTAGAGCCAATCTTTGTTGTTGATGTTGAGAATTTAGAGTAGAAGGACCAAAGTCCGATGAAATACGATTAAGAAAAGGGAAATGAGTACTGAGTAAGAAGCTCGGTTATAGAAATAGCATATAGACCAGGAAAATCTGATCAGCTGAAGTTCAATGAGCAAATTGAACCATGCATGGTAATCAGTTCTCCAATAATATTACATAAATGAATCTGAGTTGAAATCTATTGAAATGTAGGATTTTAATGATTCTGGAAATACATATGCACCTATTGAAAACACAAAAAACCTTATTTCTAGACAAAATATTGGCTCTGATCTAAGGGCTTTGACCACTAGATCAGGAATTTATGATGAAAAATCTATGCCCTCGAGCTTAGCTTAAAAGCAATATTTCTAGGAAAATCATGTTATCAGAGAGCAAATACAGAAACTCAGTATATTTTAAATAATTGCCTGTCTTGTGGGATGTATTAAAAACTGGTAAAATAGAAAGTATGTACCATTGGTATGTAGGTACCTACATATTATGTAGGTACAACAAAATTATAAAAAGGGTCAATTTAACATGGATCCCTAAATGCTTATGAATGGAGATTCAAGGAAATCATTTAAATTAATGTTTCGAGAACCATTTTTTCATTTTAGTTTAAAGTAGGTGTGCTTGTAAACATAAAGCCAATTACTTTAAGTTATGTAATTAAATCTGACTTTACTATTCCAGTGGCTTCCTCAGGAGAATCTGGTTGATAATGAATTATTTTATAAAAGATTTTGACTAGAATACTGAGAAACGTTTTTGAATTTTTGAAATCAACTAGAATGTTTCATCTGAGTACAATCTTTTTTGTCTTAATGCCGTAGAAACATGTAAGGTATCTCAAAAAGAAATAGAGCATGAATCTGTATGTGCTCATATAAACGGAATTTGATGGCCAAAAAGTCCTATGAGGAACAGTGGAGCAGAAAATGTGCCTTTGAATCTAAAATCAGGTTCTTTCCTCTATCTATTTTTGGGCTGTCAATATAGGAACGCCTATGATGAGAATAAGAAAATAAATATCCGTAATTCGAAACTCGACCAAGGTCAAAATCAGGACGAACGTGCCCCCAACCAGCACCTCTAGCTCTCCTTACCGCAAACCTCTCCTCTTTCCCGCCGCCCCCTTGCCCAGCTGCTAAACAGCTGATGTTAATTTTGTTTTTGTTTTGTTTCTAAAAAGGAAACCTATCCTATTAGCATCGATGATCCCATCGTATCGTTACCTAATCGTAGTTGCCATATCTACTTCAAATTGTATTCGATTTTAGTTTTGTTTCAAGGCCTGAAGCATTAATTAATGTCTAATAATTACACGTACACATACAAGAAGTTATTATGTAAATGCGTTGATTAACTAATCTAGAAACCCTTTGAAAATTTGTAACATGAAATAGATTAGAGGAAATTCTATAAATCGTTCGGCAACACCGTAGTTGCGATTCCGCCTAGCGACAAGCAGTCTACACGGGTCGCGGTTTGCCCTGAAAAAACAATAATTGTACATGAGGACCAGGCAGCGAGAAATAAATGCTTTTTTTTTTCGATTTGTTTCTAGGCAAGCCATACGAAACAATGGAAAGGTTTTACGTATAGAACTGGATGATAGACATCAGTCGAGCAAGTCATTGACTTTTGGATTATAATGGGAATCGATTCTAGAAACTATTCGAGATAGTTGAATAAAGCGAATGTGAGAAAAGTCAGAGAAATATACTGTAAAGTCCTTGAACTGGCTTGAACCATCTGGAAGTACTTTTTATATAGGCAATATAACTTCCATCTCCACATATTACAACTAAATTTCTACTACTAAAACATTTTGTACCAAAATCAACATAAGTATACTCAAAAAATCACTTCTTACCTCACTAGAAGGTATAAAATCGCTTGGTCCAAAGATTAAAGCCAATGGTGCAGGAAGACCTTTTTCCTGCAAAGAAAAATACATCAATTAAAAAAAAAAAAAATACATCACTAGTTCCAATTCTTACCCCAACAGCTTTCAAAATCCCTCTACATTTCTCTCTGACTTTACCAAAAGGGCATGCCAAGCAAAGCCTCAAAATAATCGGCAAATGAAGGGCCAACATATCAGAAACAGCCTTATCTTTATCGTTTTTGGGACTTCTCGAAGCGGTCTTGTCTCCCGTATTACATCTCGGTCGTTTTTCGCGTTTCTCCATCTGCTTCCGGTGGTCCTCGAAATCCAGCCTCAGAGTCACCTCCTCGAAATGGTCCAAAACGTCTCGTTTGCAAGCGCAAGGCAGTTCTTGCTGTATAATGTTGGTTGGGTCCAGAAGACTCTCTACAAGTTTTGAAGCTATGTCCAAGGCCAGTTCTTGGTCTTCGGTAGGTTTCGAAGTGTAAGAAATGTCTTCTAAATTGAACATCAGATCGTCGCTGGTTGGGTTGTTGCCAGTGACGTCACTGGAACGTTTTTGTATGTTGGTGGTGGTTTGGACAAACATGGTTTTTGTACTTTTTGGTTGAAGAGAGATGCAAAGTCTTTGGTTGAAGGTTAATACTTAGTTGATTTGATTTATGCTCTAATACTTGTTGGTTGGTTTAATACTGGATGGTATTTTTTATGGATGCTGGAAGAGAAAAAGATTTGTTAAAACAATGAAATGCCTTTTTTTTTTCGAATTTGTAAGACAAAGACAAAATGAAAATAGCTGAAGTTTCTTCTCACCCAGCTTCTCACGTTTAGGAATTTGTTTAAACTTCCATCATAAGAAAAATCAAGAACACAAAAGAGTCAAAAACGTGTGACTCAAAAATCAGAATCTCGATCAGAATAAACTGATTATAAAATTGAAAAAGTGAACGATTACCTACATCGATCAGGGATTGAATTTTCATAAACACATTAAAAATACACTTGTGAACGTGCCAAATTCAATAACAACTCCGACCTATGTTAATCCGGACAGAAACATCAAACACCTGCATCAACAAAATACAGCGAATTCAAAAACAGTGCACCTATATTAAGATTGCCGCAATTACATCCGATAAGCAATCTATACAAATACATAGTCACTATTTTAAAATAGACTGAAAGAATGTGAATTATTACAAATGATTATCAATAAACAGAAAAATCAAATGAAGTGATTTTGAAAAACATCGATATCCCCTGTTTTGAGACAAGATGAGGCAGCTAATTATATGTACCAAGGCCTAGCCCAGCTCTAAGAACATACAATTTATCTTATCTATAATATACAGAACATCTTAAAATCAATCAAATCAACATGCTGTTTGTGTAAAAGCCTTCATATTTTCGTGTAGGTAGTTGAAAAGAATTTCTGTTGTTTTTTCTGAATCCAAAAAAAAAAAAAAATACATTATACCTAAAATTATTTTTATTCGCCGAAAATTGAGTTTGCTGTAGCCAAAATGTTTTTTTGGAATCACAGAACCATTTTCTTTAGTGATTTCTGCTTGATTTTTTGTATACCAGCAAAAATGCCATCTGGACATTTCTGTATACCTATTCCATTGGGTTCAAAAACAAGTAAAAACTTGAGACTTCCTGAATATAACTGAAGATTCAAGAATTTTGTGCATATCAATGAGGGGCTTTAAGACTGAGTAAAAATGGTTTTGACACATTATTACAATTTTCAGTATGATATTAATAACACTGTAGGCTAATTTGAGTTGTCTCAAAGTTAGCATTGTGTGGTTTTTGTGAGAAGAAGGTTCCAGTTGAGGTTGAGATACTTGTTAAATAAAAGTTGCTTTTTGAATAAAATTTATCTGTCAGAAATTTCACAACTATTTTTCTTTTTTGCTCTATTGTTTCAGACCTTATTGTCCCAAACTTATTTTCAAAACGGTATAGGTACTTATTTATTCATTTTTCTTTATCCCTTCTTCTATTTCTCAGTTTCTTTCCACTTCTCATTTGTTTCTAGTTTCACAGTGTATAGAGTCAAACTATTTGGTGATTTATGAATGACTTGTCCTGTCTCTACAGAATTGTAGGTATATAGTCTAAGGTTTCACACTATTTCCATTTTTTTTTTCCTACAAATTTCTAATTTTTTATTTATTCCAGGCTCTTGAATTTTCTTAATATTTTTTTTCACCTAATAAATATTAGTATAGTACCTATATTTTTAATACCCATTTGGAATAACCCCATCCTTATTTATCAATCACAAATCAGATGATGTGTGATAGAGATGGAAATGAGCACAACGACTGGAACTTCCAAATAGGTATTAAAAAGACTACACATAGTAACAATACACAATAAGATCGATGAGAAGTTCGATATTATTCGTGGCTACACATCTTAAGGGCAAGTATTTGTTACAACCAGGCCTGAAAGTGAATAATGGTTTAGGCTCGGGTTTAGGTATTGAAGAGATTCAAAGACAACTTTAAGAAATCTCGTTGAAGACGTCTTAGGAATGTCTTAGTCTGAAAGACGTTGGGTTTTGTAACATACGACTTTAAGATGTGTTTAAGACACCTTACAGACGTAAGCAAGACGTTTTGAATATCTTTTGTGGATATCTAGGGACGTCTTTAAGATGTCTAGAAAAATTTCCCACAGAATTCGTTTCTCATTCAATTTAGAAGTTACTGAAAACCGTTTGGAATACTACAGAACACTTTAGAACGCCTTTTGGAAAGTTCAAAACAGTTTTTAGACCAGCATTTTGGAACAATTTAGAAATTTCGGAGTTATTTCAGGATTCTAGAATTAATTTAGAGCTACTGGAAACCTTTAAGAACTCTTTTGAATCAGTTCGAGCTTCAATATTGGGCTTTAAAATACTTAGAAATCTTTCAGAACAATTAGGTACTGAAAAGCTTCTAAAATGCTCCAGAACTATTCAAGCCAAGTTAGAGCACTTTAGAACTTCAATAAGCTATTTAGAACGTTCCGAAACACTTTCAACAGCATTTTGAAAGGCTTCAGAACAATTTAGAAGCCTCAGAATTATTTCGGAGAGCCTAACGCCTGGAATTGAATTCCCGTATTTTAGAATTTCAGTCTCTTGATTTGTTTTTTAAGTTTTACTTTTCGTTTAAAAGAAATCCAGAATTCAAGAGCTTAGAGTGAGGATAAAAGTATCAAAAAGCCTTTCAGAAGGCTTGTAAGAGTGAATTTAGATTGCTGTAAAACTTTAGACCTTTACTAAGCATCCAAAACAGTTCAAATCCAAATCAAATTTTTCAGGAGTATTTTAGAGCAATATTAGGATTCAATTTAGAACTGGAAACCTTTCAGAACTCTTTTGAACCAATTTAGAAAACTTTGGACAAGGGGGTAAACCACCATCCCAGAATTTGTGCAAGCAATTCCTCGAAGGGGAATTTTTTACACATAATTCCTCAAAATTCCTACAAATTCCTCCAAATTCCCCAAAAATTCCTAGACAAATTCCTCTGGATAGCCCATCACAAATTCCTCCAAATACCCCACCACGAACTTCTCCAAATACCTCACTTATTTTTTCAGTGGAAAACAGCAACATGAAAAATCTTGGAAATCAACCTACAAAAACTGAATTAGTTGAAAAAACAGTCTCAGACATTTCAAAGTTTCCTGGAAAACTTTTAAAACTTTTTGCATATAAAAAGAAAGGTGAGAAACTCATTTTCCCATAATTTCAAATTTTTCCAGTGGAAAATAACAACATGAAAAATCTTGGAAATCAACTTACAAAAACTGAATTAATTGAAAATACCTACAGTCTCACACATTTCAAAGTTTTCCTGGAAAACTAGAGAAGGGGGAAATTTGAAACTTGAAGGTTAGAAGCTCATTTTCCCAGAATTTCAAATTTTTCCAGTAGAAAATTACATGAGGAATCTTGGACATCAACCTACAAAAACTGAATCAGTTGGAAATACAGTCTCACATGTTTCAAAGTTTTTCTGGAAAACTAGTGAAGGGAAAATTTTGAAACTTTTTGCATGTAAAGAGGAAGGTGAGAAATTCATTTTCTCAAAATTTCAAATTTTTCCAGTAGAAAACAGCAACATGAAAAATCTTGGAAATCAACCTACAATAACTGAATTAGTTGAAAATACAGTCTCACACATTTCAAAGTTTTCCTAGAAAACTAGAGAAGGGGGAAATTTGAAACTTTTTGCATGTGAAGAGAAAGGTTAGAAGCTCATTTTCCCAGAATTTCAAATTTTTCCAGTAGAAAATTACATGAGGAATCTTGGACATCAACCTACAAAAACTGAATCAGTTGGAAATACAGTCTCATAATTTTTAAACTTTTTTGATGTAAAGAGGAAGGTGAGAAGTTCATTTTCCCAAAATTTCAATTTTTTCCAGTGGTAAAGAGCAACATGAAAAATCTTGGAAATCAACCTATAAAAACTGAATTAGTTGAAAATACAGTCTCGCATATTTAAAAGTTTTCCTGGAAAACTAATGAAGGGAAAATTTTGAAACTTTTTGCATGTAAAGAGGAAGGCGAGAAGCTCAACAGCAACATGAAAAATCTTGGAAATCAACCTACAATAACTGAATTAGTTGAAAATACAGTCTCACACATTTCAAAGTTTTCCTTGAAAACTAGTGAAGGAAAAAATTTGAAACTTTTTGTACGTGAAGAGAACGATTAGAAGCTCATTTTCCCAGAAATTCAAATTTTTCCATTAGAAAATTACAACATGGGGAATCTTGGAAATCAACCTACAAAAACTGAATTAGTTGAAAATACAATCTCACACATTTCAAAGTTTTCCTGGAAAACTAGTGAAAGGAAAATTTTGAAACTTTTTTGATGTAAAAAGGAAAATGAAAAGATCATTTTCCCATAATTTCAAATTTTTCCAGTGGAAAACAGCAGCATGAAAAATCTTGGAAATCAACCTATAACAACTGAATTAGTTGAAAATACAGTCTCACACATATCAAAGTTTTCCTGGAAAACTAGTAAAGGAAAAATTTTGAAACCTCTTGCATGTAAAGAGGAAGGCGAGCAGCTCATTTTCCCAAAATTTCAAATTTTTCCAGTAAAAAATTACAATATGAGGAATCTTTGAAATCAACCTACAATAACTGAATTAATTGAAAATACAGTCTCACACATTTCAAAGTTTTCCTGGAAAACTAGTAAAGGGAAAATTTTGAAACTTTTTGCACGTAAAGAGGAAGGTGAGAAGCTCATTTTCCCAAAATTTCAAATTTTTCCAGTGGAAAACAGCAACATGTAAAATCTTGGAAATCAATCTCAATCTATAAAAACTGAATTAGTTGAAAATAAAGTCTCACATATTTAATAGTGAAGGGAAAATTTTGAAACTTTTTGCATGTTAAGAGGAAGGTGAGTAGCTCATTTTCCCAGAATTTCCAATTTTTCCAGTAGAAAATTACAACATGAGGAATCTTGGACATCAACCTACAAAAACTGAATTAGTTGAAAATACAGTTTCACACAATTCAAAGTTTTCCTGGAAAACGAGTGAAAGGAAAATTTTGAAACTTTTTGCATGTAAAGATGAAGGTGAGAAGCTCATTTTCCCAAAATTTTAAATTTTTCCAGTAGAAAATTACAGCATGAGGATTAATGAATCTTGGAAATCAACCTACAATAACTGAATTAATTGAAAATACAGTCTCACATATTTCAAAGTTTTCCTGGAAAACTAGTGTAGGGAAAATTATGAAAATTTTTGCATGTAAAGAGGAAGATAAGAAGCTCATTTTCCCAAAATTTCAAATTTTTCTAGTGGAAAATAACAATATGAAAAATCTTGGAAATCAGCCTACAAAAACTCTATTCATTATTCTTTTGAATTTTGACCTGTAAATCATGGAGTGAAATTTTGTAAGAATTTCTTTAATAAAAATGAATATCCAACGTCCAATACAAAACTAGATTTTTTTTAAAATTTCCCTTTATTACTATTTCTTATAATAAGAATGTGAATCAGTAGCGTCATGACCCTACAATTTCCTTTAAATTCCTCATAAATTTCTCACAAATTTTTCCAAATTCCCCATAAATTCCTCCAAATTCCCTATAAATTCCCCAAATTCTCATAAATTCCGATGAGTTCCTTCAAATTCCCCACAAATTCCTCTAAATTTCCCACAAATTCCTTTAAATTCCCCACATTTTTGGCAAAAAATTCCTAGGTGGTTTGCCCCTTGACTTTGGAGCTTCAATATGGCCTTAAAATACCTAAAAATCTGTCAGAACAATCAAGAAATTACTGAAAAACTTCTAGAATGCTCCAGAACTCTTCAAGCCAAGTTAGAACACTTTAGAAATGAAATTTCAATTCTATTCACTTGAAAAATTTCAGTCCAATCCCTCAAACATTTTCCTCAAAACAAAATAAAACCTCCCTCAATGATGGTTTTTGGAAATTTTATTTTCAAAATGACTTTAACAGGCATTTTGCCTGGCAACTTTATTAATTTCTTTTGGATTTTAACATAATTAAACTCAAATTAAGGCCAATTATTTTTTTTTTGTATAGTATTTGTATATTATATATACAAATCTCGTATTAATAGTTTCAATGCAGCTTGAATATTGGAAAAATTCAATAGAGCCAAAAAATCCCATTCAAGTGGTGCGTTATCCTTTGATTTCTTCCAAAATAACAATCTTACACACAAGTTTCAACGCAGCTGTAATAGTTTGGTACCTGCCAAGCTGCAAAGTCTTTTGGGTTTGATTTATCAAGGTGTGTAAGTAGAAAGATATTTATAATATTTTTCCTTTCCTTAATACCTATCAATATCAATTTCCACCCTGATTTCCACTATTTCCAGGCTCTTGATATTGTTGATTATATGACATTGAGCTAGAAAACTGATATTTTCCATTTTTATTGTTCACATAACTCCAGAATTCACGGCTATCACTGCAGAAGGAGGCCTCCATGGATGATATGTAGTCACCATAATATGATAAACAGTTTTCTCTTAAAAGAGAAAAAACTGTATAATCAGAATATTTACCAGTAGCTTTGTATTGCTTGTGAGCTGTCTTTTTATTAACAATAAGCTATTTTCCTGGGAATAAGGGTATAGTTCAAAAGCACTGTGTAAAATCTGATAAAAAGTTATTTAGAGCCTCATTAATATCAGAAGTCTGAAAGAATAAATCCCAATCAATATTAGATAGGTAGGCACTTAAGTGCCTCAATTCAATTATTCTTTTTCTCAAAAAATAAATGAAATGTCCCTCAATTAGGCGCAAAATTAAGGACAATAGTAATTGAAACTTTTACAAATCTAATACGTAATAGTTTCAATGCAATGCAGCTTCCAGTTTCGCAGTTGCGAATCTTCAAAGTCTTTGATTTTTCATCAATGTGAGTAAAAGGAAACATCATTTTTTTTTTCAATATCAATTCAATCATATGTATTGCAATTAGCCTGAAATTAAGGTGAGTTAAAGTGGTTCAAAAAATTCAAATTTGATCCTGACAAAGACAAAATTGAATTGACAATTGTAAATATCTCAATATCTTCTACTAGAGCTAAAATTTGGGTTAGAAAGGCATACAAATTCTATTCCTGGCGCTCCAAATGCCAAAAATTGAGCCAGAAGTGTAAAATTTCGATTTTTGATCATTTAAGAGTTAAAGTTGAGTTAGAGTGGTTCATGTTAAGAATATTTCCTTAACTAGTAGTTGGTAGCCTTCATTGTCAAGATAAATTGTTATTGTGTAACATAATTGAAAAAGTTCTCTTAAAATGAATGTTGTAACTCCTTGGAATACATCATATCAAGCCCCAGTACCATACTAAACATAATAGGTTATGGGCCCAGATCATCCAAGAAAGAAATTACTAATTTAGCAAGACTTCAAAAACAAGAAAAATGAATGTGATAGCAGTACCTCTGTTAAATGCGGAAAATTTTGACAATTGGAAATTCAGAGTAGGGGCTTTATTTGAGGAGAAGCAGTTAGCAGACACTTAAAAAAATTTTTAGACGACTTCACAGGGGGTAAAGAAAAATCTGAGGTTGAGAATAGAGATGCGAAGGCGAAGTCAATTATTGGACAATGTGTAACTGACAAACACCTAGATATAATAAAAGACCCCAAATCAACAAAAGAAATGTTAAAAGCACTGGAATATGTATTCCAGAAAATAAGTGCATTTACTAAACTGACACTTAAAAAAACGATTACTGAACTTAAAACACAGAAGAAACGAAAAGCTAGAAGACCATTATGCCATCTTTTATCAACACTTAATGAACAAAATGACCCAGTTAACACGGCAATAGAAAAAATGAAGTTACTATGGACTTTGTGAAATCCCACTTGCTAGATGAAGAAATAAATGAAACAAGGCCAAATTAACCAGTTAGAAGCATCTTATGAAGTATAACCTTATACTTGTCATGAATGTGGGAGAGTTGGTCAAAAAATTGCAGATTGTCATCAGAATCAGTCTAGGGGAAATTTTAGAGGTCGGAGAAATATGTACTTATAGAGACTCTTATCAATGTGGTAGAGGTAGAGGTCAACCACGAACCAATAAAAGTCAAAGTCAAACAGGATCTCATGCAACCCAGGCAGATGAAATTTCATTCATTGCATTAAACGTAGGATAATCATCAGGGATTTTAAAACGTTTTATTTTAGATTCAGGTTGTACCCAACATATGGTAATGGGCGAGCTAGAGGAATATTATGTTAGACATCAAGGAACTGGAACAAGAAGCTAAAATAGGGACAGCCAAAGATAAAGAAATTTTGTATGCAAGAAAAAAAGGTAGGTATAATTGAAGGAATTTGTCAAAAAAAAAACAAACAAATAACCATATAAGCATTGTTCGTTGAAGGTAGAGGTATGTCTCATCCGAGGTCTCATCATAATATTATATCAGTAAGTAAGTACTTAGGTAAATTACTTTACGTTAAAGTTATTTTTAACAATATATCACGTAAAAATTGTGCTATCTTATCCAGGAATAGTAATTCAGCATTTTGAATTTTAAAAATCTCAATATCTCTTAGTAGAGCTTAAATTTGGAATACAAAGGCATTCAAAAAACTTCTTCTACAAATCTCTGATAGATAGTTCCAATGTAGCTTCAATAGTTTCGCAGCTGCGATGTTTTGTTTTTTTTCAAGTGGTGAGGGAGCAGAAAGATAAGTTCATTATTTTTCCTAAATGACTCAATCTTTGTCACTATCCACTTGAAAAATTTTGATCTAAATCTTCAAGCAAAAAGGAAAACCGGGAGGAAAACGTCTCTCAATAACATTTTCAAAAATGACATCGACAAAGAATATGATTCACATGTAAAATTTAGGAATTTGGAATTAAAAAAAAATATATGAAAACTCAAGAGCCTGGAATGGACAAAGGTTGAGACAAAATGTAAATTTACCTGGAGTGTTGTTAATTAAATACCTACCTAAATATTAAAAAAAAAAACTCACATACACTATTATTTTATTATTATCTTTATTGTATTTACCTAGTACAATAAAGTTTTATAATGAAATAATTATTGTTGTAGGTACATTGAGGGGAACATGGGACACTTAATGCATTATGTACCCACAATTTCATATTCATTAATGAAACCCATTAAATTAATACACCTTGATGAAGGAGAAATAATTTGTTTAATATTTTTTCCGGAAAATAGCAGTAGATGAGGTACCTATTGGTGTGTAAAGTGTAGAGTGTAGATTTAATTAGGAAAATGTTAAAATTGAAGAAATAAAAACATCAATACAAAAAATGCAAAAATCAAAAAATCACAGTTCAAAAAACAAAATAATAATTTATTATGTATTTACAAAATAAAATAAATCAGCTGTTAGGATGATCTACTTTACCTGAACTTATACATAAAAGATCCCGTTGGGTCCGGCGAAAAGAGTCCAAAGAACAAAGAAAACTTTTTCCCAGAGGATCGGAGCCGTTGGAATGTTCGTCCAGGACACTACGAAAGGGTTTTCTCGAAATTTGCGGCGAAAATTTCGCGAAAACTAACGGGAAAAACTCGGTTTTCGACGGTTTTCTTCTGCGGGGAAAAATGGGAAATTGTTTAAGCCGGTATTCGAGTGTTTTTTAACGTCGATACACCGGCTGACTTGGTCTACCCAGCTGACTGCTGGGAATCAAAGCGACGATGTCAAGAGTTCTTTAAAGCGAATTTTAGTTGTGTTGTACTAACTCCAATAACTTTTAATCAAGTTTGAATACATTGGCTCATTTTTTCAATAAACGATATTGCTTTTTTTAACAATTTTCTTGTAGCCCCTAAGCTACAACCCACCTATTATAATGGAGAAAAAAGTTATGACCATAAAACTATCAAGAAATAATAATGTATCTGGCAACAATGCAAAGAAATCCGTTGCGCAAGTTGAACAATGATGACCCATTGAAAATGTATAGTTCATTCCTTTGTAATAAGGCAAGCGATATCTGAATTTTTTTATTCATTCGAGAAATGCATTTATTGGAAGAATTAGGATTTATGCAATTAATAAGTGCATCCATTTAAAGCCTGAAAATTCTACATATTTATAATTTGGTGAATTGGGAGAAATAAAATGCAAGGCATAATACAGTGCAAAGCACTATACAAACGGGTTTTAAATTAGAAAACGCGGTGCTGCCAGATTTATTTTTAGGAAGAAGTGATTCAGAAACATTCTCTAGCTAGTTTATTTTATTTTTTTCAGAAATTTAGAAAAGAAAATATTATTAGTATTATTACTCTTCTAACTCGGTTTTGGGCTATAAGTATTTGGTTTAGAGTTTTTTTTAGTAGTAATCTACAAAGCCACTAATAGACGCATCTATTTTTGAGCAAGTAATAGGTATCCAGTTTCTTTCCAAATGCCAGCAAGCTAAGCTCAGACCCACTGAGCAAGAAACATACTTGGGATGTTTTGTAACGTTTTTAAAATGAAACTCAATGAACGTTTTTTATGTAACGTAGTAAAAAGTCATATTTGTTACTACTTTTCAAAACGTTTTGCATATTCCTGTTTTCAGAACGTTATTTTGCAATTGTATTGGTTCTGTTGTAAAACCAACGTTCCAATAACGTGAAATAGATGTTTACCCTAGCAACGTTGAGTATTTAACGTTATATGGACAGTATGTTACGATATCGTTAACGCCAGGCCAGAAAAACTGCGTCCGCCAGGCTGTCAAGAATCGATGTCGAAAATCCTCGAATCTAGCGAATTATTCTACTATAATCGAGAAATAACATTATCGTGTGTGAGTTATATTGTAAGACCCTATGTTATCCTTATACTAATATAATTCTCCTTTCCTATGTTAATTATTAGCGTACGCCTATGTCAATACTAATAAATATATAAAACTGCTTAATCAGCGGTACTGCACTGGTAGTACCGCCACCTGCATAGGAAAATGCTTGGATCAGCAAATATTTATTATTTAAGCCAGAGCTTTCCAGTAAGGAGCGTTCATTTGTTTTCAGGCACTCCCTGTAGCAATTTGATCCACATATTTTCCGATTGTCACTATTGTATTTTAATTAATAAAATAAATGTTTTTTAAAAATACAAGTTTCTGAATCGAAAATATAATTTGTGTTCTAGATTTTACAGGAATAGATTTAGGGATATAGGTATATAATAGGACGGGTTTTAGCTTGTAAGTTAAGTTTCAGTTCGACTGAGATACGATTTAAATAGTGATTGTAAAGAGTTTAATTGTTGAGTTAGTTATTAAAGTAATTAGTGTCAGAGTGTTTTGTTAAGTGGAATAAATTATTGCTGTGTTAATTGAACTTTGATTTTTGGAATAAACGAAACGAACAACGAACCCAAGATTTTTGTCAGCAGGCAACCCAAAGCCGCGACAATATTATTTACATTCTTGCTACGTTTCACGTGATGACATGTTTGTGATGTTTTCTGTTCTATATTTTCGTTTCGTTTCGAAATAGACGTTGCAAATTCGAAACTATAACTTGTTTGGTAATATAACGTTTTTAATGTTGTTAGGTACAACATGCTTGATACGTCCCAAAACTCCCAAAGGACGTATCACTTTCATTATTTTCGAACAACGCCGCAGATTTGTTTAGATTCAGATTAGAGGTTAGGTTAGGTCAGGCCTGCTGTGTAAAAATCGGTGTTTCTGGATTTTTATTAGGTAAAATTGGGTAAAATAGGTTATTTTATGCTATAAATAGCTATCTTCCTAACGAGTGCCGGAAATTTCTTCCCGCAAGAGTTAGGAACTATATTTTTTCTACGAGCATACTAAAGCTGATATTAAGAAGAGTTTAATTTAAATAAAATGCGATTATGCAGAAGGTAGAAATTAAAAATGTATTAAAAGGTATTTCAAAAAGGTAAAGGTACAGGTATAGGTGTATCAACAATACAAACAATTCCATGTCACAATGATTATTTCAAACTCATTCCGCACTGAGTGCGAGAAGAAAGTCTTCCCGCACAGCAAATCGTGCGGGAAGAGCCATTTCCCGCACGCTCGTAGAAAAAATAATTTTAACTATAGATATCATCCTATGTGTTTCTTGGAGTGTTTTTTTTTTGTGTGGTACTTGGTAGGTAGGTCATTGGCTAAACCAAACAGGGCGAGTCTCTGAAGATGGATCTTAAAGTAAGTTTATTTTTCAACAAAAAGTGTGTATGATGTATTTGTTATTATTTTAGGTATTAAGGTTGTGCTGGTATCATTCTTACTTTTCAATATAAATACCTACCTATACTTAAGTAGCAGGCACCCACTAAGCAAAAAAACATCCCAATTTCGTTAAAATCATGTTTGTCTGTTTCAGTGTTACGTTATACAAGCTGAAACATTTGCGTTCTAGTTGCATCACATAGTCGTTATAAGTCCTGCAACGGGACTTTATAGTAGATGAGGTACGTTAAAAAAACTGACGTTGCTGTTCTAGTTCTGTTCAAAAAAACATCACCAAAACGTAACATTTTCGTAACAGAAACGTCGCCACTAAACGTAACATTAACGTTCAATAATAACATTATTGCGACGTTTTTAAATTAGCTGATAAAAACGACACCATTAAACGGAACATTAACGTTATGAAAATAACGTTCTTAGGACGTTTTTGATATGTCGTTCAATTTAGGAAGAACCTCCTAGGTCAAAAATTTGAGTTTTTTAGTTAACATAAAAACATTCCAAACATTATTCATAATTCCATGTGGAAAATCGTCATCAGTACTATTTGTCTATTAACACGACAGCGTTTTAGTGACGTTTTAGCCACACAAAAATATAGGTTTGAACTGTTTTTATGTTAACTCAAAAATTCCATTTTTTGAGTTAGGCAACGTTCTTCGGTAAAGGAATTTGTTTCCGTACTTATCCTTTTGGCAAAAATCTTTTTCTACTACAACTTATTGGTAATGACCTGTAAATATAAATAAAAAGTAAGACACAGCTATAATAATCTTTATGACAAATCATTTTATTTCTGATTTATAATTAAAAGTAGGTAATAATATAGTAGGTATTCTATTCATTATTGGGCTCCCTTTTCAAACGCTGAGAAGCGTGGCGAAACCAGTCCATCATGGTAGCTTCGAACTGTTTATCAGTAGCTTTGAAAGTTTTCTGAACTGCTCCTAGCAATAAAAAATACCAATATTTTTAAAGAATCTTTGAACAAATTTTGTTGCATTTATTTCTAAACACCCTCATACCACGTAATGGTTTGCGTTTGAGGAACCGAGACCTCTTGGAAAAATTATTAGTGACATCAATTGTTCATATTATTGTGTGTTGATGTATTTGCTGTATGTATTTGTGACAAAATATTTTAGAGGAGCCTATTTTAATTATCGATTCAAAATTTACTTGGAATGTCCTTCCTATTCCCTGAACGATGCACAATAACACAGGGGGTGAGCTTTAGCTGATTTTATCTAATATAAATGAAATACACATGCATCACTCAGCATCACCTCCTGCTAGTACTTAGACCGTTATGCGCGTTTTGTTAAAGCAACAGCAAAAGTACCAGCCCAATGGTTATTTGATTAACAGAATACATTGTAGAATACGCATTTACAAATAATCCTAGGGCTTGGGGATCAAAAATAATGAGTAAAAATGTGCTTACCTTTTCCATGATTTCTAGCAGCTTTCCCTTATAATTATTATCACTCGAGACACTTTTAAAGACACAAAACACAAAAATTCAATTTTGTCTAAGGTATTAGGACAGTACAGGCGTGCGGCGTGGCTTTTTCCTTTCGACTTTCACTAGTTAACTTTAACCTCTCTTTTTTAGCCAATACCTACCCCGCATTTTTTTTTCTCATTATTTATCACCGATGCGATGGCACATAAACAGCTCTGTTTCCACGTCTGTTTCAGTCGTTGCGATATTTCAAATAAACATCGCTGATTCGAAACTCATTGTACCCTTAACTAACGTCATCATTTTATCACAGTAAAACGTTTCAAGAATATTTACAAGGCAACGTTATTTTTTAACCACAAGATTTGTCCGTTTTTAAAACGTTCACTGTAAATGTAACAAAAATGTTCATGTAAGAACATAGTTTTGATGTTAAAAATGAAACGTTTCTATATTGACACGACTGCTCCGTTACTAGCATGTTTCCTTTACAACGTAACAAAGCCACGCATGAAATTAACTTCACAGAGACGTTAATTATTCCAACGTTAAAAAAAGTCGTAATTGTTACAGCCCTAAAATGTAAAGGAAAATCGTTATTTAAGTTCCATTAAATTAACGTTACTAAACGCGGCAAAGATGTTTCTTGCTTAGTGGGCAGAAATAGGGCCGAATTCTTAAGAAGAGGATTGGCCAATCTTTTCGCCAGTAAATTGTCTATACATTATACATTGTTCGTGGACTGGCCATATAAAAGTTATTTCAAAATAAGGGATTTGCAAAATCGAGCATATTCTAAAAGGTTTGATTTTGATCTAAAATATTTTTTGATTGATTAATTAGGTTGTTTTTTCTAAGTCCTGACTGGTGAAGAGGTGACGGACAAAGGTGGTGATGAGATGGCTTATTCATTCGAATCTGCGCCTCAAGCAGAAATTCCGAAAAAATTGGTAAATTTTATCCTTTTAGAAGTTAATTAA